AAAAAAACCGTGGGTTTTTTGCAATCCTGGGTTTTTTTTGCAATCCTTGGGTTGTTTTGCAATCCTTCGCGCCTGTGTGAAGCAGGTGGGGACTCCCCCCTCGGGCGCACTGTTGCAAGCAGTCGCATTCGGCACAGGTCCGGAGACAGACCCCTCCCCCCTCCCAGCCCCTTCCGCCCAATGTCGAAGCTCCGAGCAAGAAAACGTTGACCTACAACACTGGGGGAGCCGCGTGCCAGAAGGGCGGGGGATCCAATGGCCCGAAACCGGCCCCGGCTGGCGTCGGTTCTGAGGGCCCCAAGACAACCCAAGAAGTCCGCGACGCTTCAGGGAATGGGCAACAAACACGCTTTGGGACAGATGTTTCTAGGTTCTGCGAAAACTCTGCAGCCTTGGCTGTACCCTTGCTTGCTCAGCGAGTTCGAGCAAAACACTATAATGCAAAATGCTCTGGCTTCTGTCAACGCTGTGGCGGTCCAAGAGGTCGCCAATATGGTTTTCAGACGGACTCACGGTGCAGGAAGACGGCCTCAGAGGGCTCCAAGAGGACCCAAATAAGGGCCCCCGAGAGGCTAACATTACTGCTTCCCCCAAGGTTTTCCCAGCGAGTCTTGTGGTGTCGGGTCCTCGTTTCGAAAAAAAAACAGCGCCCCGCGTTTCCGTCATCTCTCCTCCTCTCATTCCTTCTCCTCCTCCCCCTCTTCCGTCCTCCCCTCCCTGCCGCTCTGCTTTCCGCGTGCCCATCCCATGTCGGCACACCCTCACACGTTTCGTTGCCCCATACGGAGCTCCACCGAAGGCCGAAGTGGCTGCGCTCGCATGGCACCACCGCGCCCATATCGGCACACCCCTCACACGTTTCGTGGCCCCATAAAAAGGCTCCACCGAAAGCCTAAGTGGCTGCGCTCGCATGGCACCACCCTGCCCATTTCCGCACAGCCCTCATACGCCTCGTGGCCCCATAGGGAGCTCCACCGAAGGCCCCAGTGGCTGCGCCCGCATGGCGCCACCGTGCTCATTTGTGCACACCCCTCACGCTTCGTGGCCCCATAGGGAGCTCCGCCGAAAGTCCAAGTGGCTGCGTTCGCATGGCACCACCCTGCCCATTTCCGCACAACCCTCACACGCTTCGTGGCCCCATAGGGAGCTCCACCGAAGGCCCCAGTGGCTGCTCTCTCATGGCACCACCGTGCTCATGTGTGCACACCCCTCACACGTGTCGTGGCCCCATGGGGAGCCCCACCGAAGGCCGAAGGGGCTGCGCTCGCATGGCACCACCGCACCAATGTTGGCACGCCCCCCCGTGTTTCGTGGCCCCACTGGGGGCCCCACCGAAAGCCCCTGTGGCTGCGCTCGTATGGCACCACCGCGCCCATTTCGGCACACCCCTCACACGTTTCGTGGCCCCCTTCGGGCGTTTCACTGAAAGCCTAAGTGGCTGCGCTCGCATGGCACCACCGCGCCCATTGCGGCACACCCCTCACACGTTTTGTTGCCCCATAGGGAACTTCACAGAAGATCCCAGTGGCTGCGCTCGCATGGCATCACCTTGCCCATATCGGCACACCCCTCCCAGTGGCCCCATAAGTGGCCCCACCGAAAGCCCAAGTGGTTGCGCTCGCATGGCACCACCGCGCCCATTCCGGCACACCCCTCACACGTATCGTTGCCCCAAAGGGGGCTCCACCGAAGGCCCCAATTGTTGCGCTCGCCGTCCATATCGGCACACCCATCACACGCTTCGTGGCCCCATAGGGAGCCCCACCGAAGGCCAAAGTGGCTGCGCTCGCATGGCACCACCGTTTGCGCTCGCATGCCACCAGCGCGCCCATGTCGTCCCCTCCCCCTCCCCCCCCCCCACGCTTCGTGGCCCCATAGGGAGCTCCACCGAAGGCCTCAGTGGCTGTGCTCGCATCGCACCTCCACACCCATTCCGGCACACCCCTCACACGTTTCGTGGCCCCATAGCAGGCTCCACCGAAAGCCCAAGCGGCTGCGCTCGCATGGCACCACCCTGCCCATTTCCGCACAGCCCGCACACGTTTCGTGGCCCCATAGGTAGGTCCACCGAGGCCCCAGTAGCGTCGTTCGCATGCGCCCACCGCAGCCACTGCGGCACGCCCCTCACTCGCTTCGTGGCCCCCTAGGGAGCCCCACCGACGGCCACAGCGATGGCGCTCGTATGCGCCCACCGCACCCATGTCGGCACACCCCTCGCACGTTTCATACCCCCAACAGGGAGATCCACCGAAGACCCCAGTGGCTGCGTTCGCATGCGCCCGCCCACCGCACCCATTTTGGCACACCTTTCACACAGTCTGTGCCCCTATAGGGAGCTCCTCCGAATGCGGTGCATACAACGACGGTGCTCACAACTGCATATGGTAGGGTCCTTCGCCAAGCTACAGGGATTCAGCGTTTTCGTTGTTTCGGAGCCTCGACGTTCCAAGCCGGCCCCAGTGCCTTCAAGATCGCGCCAAGTTGGGCCAAGAGGCCCCCAAGAGGCCTCCCAGACAGCCCAGGACGGCCCCGAGACGGCCCAAGAGGCCCTTAAGACGGCCCAGAGAGGCCCCCACGAGGGGACCGCGAACTGACCTTCCGCGCCATCCGCTCCAGGATGATCCCAGAAACTGCTAGCAGGGCCAGCCGGGGGCCTCCTGGGACGCCTCAGACGGGCTTCGACTTTGACGCACATCCTCGGGAGACTTTTGCAATCAAAGCTGCCCTCAATAGGAGGGGGGCGAACGAGCCGTGCGCCGGGGCCAAGTTGCTGGAGCGCTGCAAGAGTTCGGACACGAAGGCGCGATCTCGCAGCTGCCGCCCCGGCCGCCGCCGTGCTTATAGGATTTTAGCATTTCTCCGCCTTTACTACGAGAACCGTTCCAGAAAGATATCGTGGACGGGGTTCAGTTACAACGCTGGGGCCAGCGCGTGCGAGAAGGGTGGGCAATGGCAACGGGCACTGTTGCTCCTCAGTAAGGCGGGGGAGTCGAAGCTGGAGCCTGACGAGATCTGTACTACAATTCTGGGCGTTGCGCTTTCGAGGAGGCCTTTTAGTGAACAAAACTGCCCCTGAGCGCCCGAGGCGCCCCGGCGCTCGCCGACGGCTCCAGAGGGTCCCCCGGTGGCCCCAAGGCCCTGAAAGCCCCAAGACAGCTCTGAGACGCTCCGGGGCGCGCGAGGACGGCCCAAGAGAACCCTAGCGGAGACCCATGACAGCCCAAAACGGCCCGACAACGGGTTAGGTGCCTTGGAAAACGTCTGAGCCGGATGCCGATGACTGCCCCCCGAGGCCACAATCATAGATTCCCTTGGTTTTGAAGTTTTTTTTCTTGTCACTTCGTGCCAAGAACTTCCCAAGACGGCTCCAGGGCGATCCCAACCCCGAGTCGGTCCAGGAGGCCCCGCCAAGTGCACCAAGGCGGCCCCAGAGGCTCCCAAGATTGCCCAGGAGAAGCCCGAGACAGCCTCGTAGGGTACACAGTGGCCCCCATGACAGCCCCAAGAGGGCCCTGGGAGCTGCCCAACAGGCACCAAAGCGAGCTCTAAGACGGCCCGACACCCTTGGAGGCTCTGGAGAGACCCCCCATGAGAGCTCGAAGAAAATGTGCACAATGTGGGAACGCAGACAAAGCCCATCCCGCTCGACCCCCCCCTCCCCCCTGTATAACCTCACCCTGTCGGTTGAGCTGTCCAGACATATCCTTCGACATTCCCAGACGGCGCCCGCATCGTCGCAGCACGAATGATAGCATCGCCGCAGCATCGGTAGCAGCTGCAGGGGCCGCAGCTTTGGTGCGCGAGGGCATATGCGGGGCTGCCCACAGCGCGAAGGCTGGCTTATCGGCTGCCCCCCCAGATATCCCAGGTTACCGCCGATTATCTTTGTAAACATCTCCATTGGGTCAAGAACCCTCCAAGGACCAATGGCCACTTCCATATGCCCCAGAGGCTCCGAAGAGACTCCGATGGTTCCCAAGGAGCTCCCAAGGAGAGTGCCTCGAACCACGGCGCCCTGTCGCCGTTTCTCGAACCCCACGCGCCCCGAAGAAAGCCCCAGACCCACAAGGCAGGCCCCAGACCACTCCGAGATGCCCCAGAGCCTCCCAAGAGGCACCGATAGTCCCCACAAGGCTTCCAAGAGCGCTCCCAGGGCCACTCCGAGATGCCCCAGAGTCGCCCACAAGATTCCGACGCTTGCAAAGAGACTCCGACCGTTCCCACGGAGCTCCCAAGAGCGGTCCCAGGAAGAGATTCCCATAGTTCCCACGGAGCTCCCAACAGTAATCCCAGGACCATTCCGAGATGGGCCCAGAGTCGCCCTCAAGATTCCCCATACGGCCGATTGGGGTGACAGGGGTGACCTTCTCCTCTGATCTCTTCCTCTTTCCCTCATCGAGGCTCCGGCCGCTCTGGGGTCTCCACTCCGCTTGTTAGGGGTGATAGGGGGGACCTGCAGCCACTTCGGTCGCTCCCCCTCTACGGCCGATTAGGGGTGACAGGGGGGGGAACCTGCAGACACTGCGGGGACCAGCATCTCGCTTCCCACCTACTGCCGAGTAGAGGCCTCGGTGGCCTCCAAGACAGCCCCAAGCCCACGAGATCCCTCCCTTGACCACCCCGAGATGGCGCAGACCCACCCAGGACATTCGAAGACAGCCTCCAGCCCCGGCTCCCGGAGCCTGCAGCAAACCTGACAGCGGGAACCTGACAGCAACCTCGTAGCATGCACGCACAATAAGTTGCCTGGGCTGTCCCCCAGAAGAGACCTTGGCGGACAGCTCGGGAACGGCCCCTCAGGCGCCCAAAAACCGCAAGAGGCCTTCAAGCCGCCCAAGACAGGCTCGCAGGAGGGCCCAACATGCTCCCGACACGGCCCCAGGGACGCCAGAACTGTTCATCTTTGAGTGTTGTTCACCCACGGTGTGCGGGTCCCAGGCTCAGCACACCGTATTAATCCACGGGCTCTCACTCGTCAGCTACAACGCTGGGATCAGCGCATGCGGAAAGGGCGAGCAGTGGCAGTTGGCTTTGGCGCTACTCAGCGAGATGTGGCAGGCGAAGCTGGAGCCCACTGCCATCACTTCCACGTTGCAGGGCCCCGTGCGAGTGCGAAGGGGCTCTGCATCAACTAGCTTTTCGTGACTCGCTGGCGACTCCCAGAGGCAACCACCGAGCCACGTGATGTCAGAGAAGGTGTGAAAATGTCACCAAGATGGCGCAAGGTGGCATTCGAGAGGGTCTCGGATGGCCAGATCTGGGTCCACGCGGCTCCAAGAGGCCGCAAAGAGGACCACTTGGGCTCAACGAGTCACCTCAGGAGTCGTCCAGCGCATTTCTGGGAGTCTAAAGGCCTTCCAAAACCTAATGGGAATCATTGTGCTTGGAATTACAAGGCCTCCCGGCGCCCGAAAGCCCCCAAACGGATTCGGAGCAGCCTCCTCGGATCCTTTTGGGGCTCTTTGGGACCGTCCTTGGGCCATCTAGGAAGCCCAAGGCGCCCAGCTGGCCTCCACGATGGCCCAAAGGCGGCGATTACACATTCCAAGGCCGCACCAATATTGTTCCAAGACGCTGCCAGACGGCCCGCAGAACCCCCCAAGACGGCCCCCCAGACTCCCCCCCAAAGCCCCATGAGGCACCAGGGGACCCCGATATGTTTCCGAGAAGCAACCATAGAGGGCCGCAAGAGAATCCAAGCATGCTCTGGGATAACCCCAAGAAGGGCTCCAGAAGACACCACGAACGGACCAACATGCAGCCAGCATACAAGCAGGCTCGCAGGCAAACAAACTGTCGCACCAGCAGGCTAGCAGCCAAGCAATCAGGACAGCACGCAAGCAGGCAACCAGAAATAGCAGCAGCCAGAGTCAGCCTCCAGCTGAATGCAGCATCGGCAGGAAGCAGCACGCAGGTACATCACGCATTCAATTGTCCATTACTGAGCAGCAAACAGCATACACAAGCCAGATCAAAGACCAGACTGCGAAACCTACCCCAAACAGAAACAGCAACAGCGGCAGAAGCTGGAAGCGAGCAAAAAGGGACACGTGATATCAGGCATGTCGGCCAGCATGCAAGCAAACGCGCCGGGAAGCTGTTTTGGTCAGCAGGTCGTAGTGGACGATGTGCACGGCTCAGCCATAGTCGGGCCCGACGTCAGAGCAGATCTCGTGGACGGTAGTCCACGGGTCAGCCCTAGTCTTACCTACATTGCAGGCATACGTGCGTGCGAGAAGGGCCTGTCAATCCAAACCGGAGAAAAACGCCCCTGGGCGCCTCTGGCGAGCTCGAGGACGAAATTCAACGCGCCCGCTTCGCCCGAGGACGAGATTTCGTGCGAACGTGCCGTGTTAAGTTTTGTCCGCGCCCCTAGGGGCCGAGCGCTGAGGCCCCAGTCCGGTGAATCTTGTCCTCTGGCACAAAGGGACGCGCCGAGTCGCCCGAATTTTCGCAATCCGAGGGCCCCAGCGACAGTCCGAAAAGGCCAAGACCATGCATTTCCCTTCAGTGTTTTGTTTTGTTGTTTTGTTTTGTTTTTCAGATTTCACACTTTAGTTTTTTTCAAGCTCCGGCTGCCGACGATGCCCGCAGGGAGCCCCAGAATGGCTCCAGACGGCCCCAGACACCCTCAAGGATAGCCCCAAGACGCCCCAGGAGCCTCCCAAGGACGCCTACGACGGCTCCAACACTGGCCCATGGAGGCCCACCAAGGCCGACACAGTGCGCGGCATGACCGCCCGAAGGCGAAGTGTAACGCGGGTCTGGGCCCGAGGACGAGACTTCATGTGAGGGCCCCGCGACCCCCCGAGTTCGAGGACAAAATTTAACGTGAGGGTGGCGTGTCAAATTTTTTCCGTGTTTCCCGGGGTTCATCGTTGAGGCCTCCGGCCTGCCGCGGACAGATTTACAGTGCCCACGCGTTATATCTTGCCCTCAAGCTCTCCACGGCTCCAGGAGCGTCTCGGCGCAGAAGGACAGGAGATGCGTTTTTCGGGAATGTCCTCCCCCCCGTTCCTTGCTTAAAGAGGACGTAGTCCACGTGTCAGCCCATAGATGCTGGCCCCCGGTGGCGGGGCGACTGCTGAGTTTGAAGCCCTGCACACTGAGCCCCAGACCACCGGCAACCTCGGGAACAGCTCCGAGGCTCTCGGCCAACGCCACGGCCACCGCGGCAGCGACGCCGGCAGACCATGCGACGACGGCGGCGACAGCGGCGAGGGCGCGACAGACTTCCTCCTCCTTGACCGAATGGAGCAGTGGAGCCAGGCCCGGAACTTCGGCCCAGTTGCAACGTGGCGCCTAATAGTTGCAGTGGGAAGCCAACGTGGCGCCTGACGTAATTGAATGCGCCTGGCGGCATTCCCCCCCCCCGCGAGTGGACGTAGTCTACGGGTCAGCACTAGTCAGCTACAACGCTGCGACCAGCGCGTGCGAGAAGGGCAAGCGGTGGCAGCAGGCGCTGTTGCTGATCAGCGAGATGCAACAGGCAAAGCTGGAGCCCGACGTCATCCGGTCCACATTGCCAAGGGTCGCAAGCGCGAGGGGGGAACTCACTGTCGATGTCCATGGTGAGGGTGAGTAGCTGCCCCTAGCATGCCATTGTGTCGTTATGTGAGTTATGCCAGTTTTCCTGCCGTTTGCTGCGCAACAGGCTTCAACTCAGGCGTACGAGGGCCCTGCATCCTCGCCGTATCTATCGTAGGTGGCACCGCTCTGGTGGTTGCAACCGCCCCCCCTGGCACATCTGGGCGCTCCGTTGTGCGGTGGGTCGATCGGAGAGGTGCGTTGTTGTACCCCCTCCCTGCTCTTCCCCTGAACGGACTTTGTTCGGTCTTGCTCTTGTCCGCCCTCCTCTCTGTGGCCGGTACGCTCCTCATCCCTTTTCCGCCCTCTTTTGTCGTTAGTGCTCGAGGTACGCGACAGAAGTCTTCCATCCCCAGAGGAAAGAGGGGTCGCTCGATCGCCGAGAAGTCCCACGGAACACGTGACCGTCAAGCTCTTAAGACCTTGCTTCCCCTTGCGCAGGGGGCCTCGCTTGAATCACGAGAGGCTCCGAGAAAGACCCCGGGAGATACCGAGATAGTCCACCCGACAGGCAAGATGACCGAGCGCCTATGGGTCCGTACGCCCTGCTGCTCGTTTGGCGCGCCCCTCACCCGCGTCAGCGCAGCTGGTCTCGAGCGCGGCTACCATCTGTGCATATATGTGTGTGTCTTTATATATATATACACACATATATATATATATATATGAACCATCTTCCCAGAGTTCTGCAAGCCGGAAGGAAAACCCCCTCACCCCCCCCCTCAAAAAAAAATAGCCTGGCGAAGGACCCAACCATATGCAGCTGCGAGTACCGCAAGGATACAAGTGTCAAGCTCCCCCCGGCCTTCGGTGGAGATCCCTATGGGGCCACGAAGCGTGTGAGGGGTGTGCCGAAATGGGTGTTGGGGAGTGCCGAAATGGGTGGTGGGGAGGCATGGAACCCTGCCACTGGGGCCTTCGGTGGAGCTCCCTATGGGGCCACGAAGCGTGTGAGGGGTGTGCCGAAATAGGTGGTGGGGAGGCATGCGAACGCAGCCACTGGGGCCTTCGGTGGAGCTCCCTATGGGGCCACGAAACGTGTGAGGGGTGTGCCGAAATGGGTGGTGGGGAGGCATGCGAACGCAGCCACTGGGGCCTTCGGTGGAGCTCCCTATGGGGCCACGAAACGTGTGAGGGGTGTGCCGAAATGGGTGGTGGGGAGGCATGCGAACGCCACTGGGGCCTTCGGTGGAGCTCCCTATGGGGCCACGAAACGTGTGAGGGGTGTGCCGTGCAACTGGGGCCTTCGGTGGAGCTGGGGCCACGAAAGGGGTGTGCCGAAATGGGTGGTGGGGAGGCATGCGAACGCAGCCACTGGGGCCTTCGGTGGAGCTCCCTATGGGGCCACGAAACGTGTGAGGGGTGTGCCGAAATGGGTGGTGGGGAGGCATGCGAACGCAGCCACTGGGGCCTTCGGTGGAGCTCCCTATGGGGCCACGAAACGTGTGAGGGGTGTGCCGAAATGGGTGGTGCATGCGAACGCAGCCACTGGGGCCTTCGGTGGAGCTCCCTATGGGGCCACGAAACGTGTGAGGGGTGTGCCGAAATGGGTGGGGGGGAGGCATGCGGAGCCACTGGGGCCTTCGGTGGAGCTCCCTATGGGGCCACGAAACGTGTGAGGGGTGTGCCGAAATGGGTGGTGGGGAGGCATGCGAACGCAGCCACTGGGGCCTTCGGTGGAGCTCCCTATGGGGCCACGAAACGTGTGAGGGGTGTGCCGAAATGGGTGGTGGGGAGGCATGCGGACGCAGCCACTGGGGCCTTCGGTGGAGCTCCCTATGGGGCCACGAAACGTGTGAGGGGTGTGCCGAAATGGGTGGTGGGGAGGCATGCGAACGCAGCCACTGGGGCCTTCGGTGGAGCTCCCTATGGGGCCACGAAACGTGTGAGGGGTGTGCCGAAATGGGTGGTGGGGAGGCATGCGAACGCAGCCACTGGGGCCTTCGGTGGAGCTCCCTATGGGGCCACGAAGCGTGTGAGGGGTGTGCCGAAATGGGTGGTGGGGAGGCATGCGAACGCAGCCACTGGGGCCTTCGGTGGAGCTGCCTATGGGGCCACGTTACGTGTGAGGTGTGTGCCGAAATGGGTGGTGGGGAGGCATGCGAACGCAGCCACTGGGGCCTTCGGTGGAGCTGCCTATGGGACCACGAAGCGTGTGAGGTGTGTGCCGAAATGGGTGGTGGGGAGGCATGCGAACGCAGCCACTGGGGCCTTCGGTGGAGCTCCCTATGGGGCCACGAAACGTGTGAGGGGTGTGCCGAAATGGGTGGTGGGGAGGCATGCGAACGCAGCCGCTGGGGCCTTCGGTGGAACTGCCTATGGGGCCACGAAACGTGTGAGGGGTGTGCCGAAATGGGTGGTGGGGAGGCATGCGAACGCAGGAGGGAGGAGGGCGAGGAGAAGGAGGAAGAAGGAACGCGGGGACCGTTTCTTCAAAACGAGGACCCAACACCACAGGATGGTTGGGAAAAAAACAGCTCCCCAGGATCCGGGGTCTCCGGGCCCCCTGGACACCCTTGCCAAATGTCCTCCAGCTCGTCCCTGACCTCCCAGGGCGCTTAGCGCTTAGCCGGGTCTTGCCAGCAGACCCCAAGCGATCAGAGCTGTGATCACAGAGGCCGGAGAGAGACCCAAGACAGCACAAGAGCGTTCCAAGATGGACCCAGATGGCCTCCAGAGGCCCCCAAGACGGCCCAGGAGGCCCTGAACAGGACTCCCAGAACGCAAAAATCGCTTTATTCACTCAGGGAAACGTGCATTCTTAACATACTCGCCGTTCGGGCCTTAGCAGCGTCCAAAAACAGCCTAAATGGCTTCCGGTATCGCCCCAAGAGAGCCTCTAGACGGCCTGGACGGCCCCAAGGGTGCACCGAAAACCCCGAATGGGCCAAAAAGAGACCCAACAGGCCCTCACAAGGCCCCCAAGACAAGCCCAAGAAGGCCATGGGAGGCCCTCCAAAAGGGCCGAGGCCACCAGGAGGGCCCCCGTAGCCCCCCTGAGGTCCTTAGAGGGCCCGAGCTCTACAACACGGCCCAAGATGGCCCCAGGACGGCTGGATAGGGCCCCAAGCCGGCCCACTAGGGTTGCGAACCAGGGATTTCGGTGCATTCCCAAGGATTTGTTCCTTTCGCGTGCCCCGTTGCGACCCGCTGCAACATGACATCCTCGGCTTAACATTGCTTTGTGCTATACGGCATTGCTTGACATTGAGTCGGTTTGCTTGGCATTCATTCGCGTGGATTGCCATTCCTCGGTGCGGCGCAACCGAAATTCTTCACCGTCCCCCGACGGCGCCGTCTCTTTCCCTCCTCCTGCTCCTCTCTGGGTCCTCCTCCTCCTCCTTTTCCTCTTTCTGCCGCTCCACCACTCGTCCTCCCCCACATCCGCTTCCCTCTCCTCGCTCCCCGAGATTCCATCCCTCCTATCCCTCGCCCTCCACCTGGCGCCTTTCGGGAGCCCCCGCAGGCCCGCGGAAGGCCACGGACCACTCGAATTTTCGAAGACTTCGAAAACCACCGCAGGGAAGGGGCCATATTTCCAAGGCCACTAGGGATGGCGCGAACGACCAACATAAGCAAAGCCTCAAGGACCAAGGTGCACTGCGCGAAGCGCCAATGCACTCTCGTAAATATAGAATGCGATGTACTCAACATCTCCCGCCACGCTCGCCGCGATCGTGACGCTCATCGCCGGAGGACTTGCGAAAACCTCCAGGGATGTTTGTTCCCCAGTTGGGCCCTGCTTCGGGATCTTTACCTGCGTGGTGAACCTGAGCGATGGAGTCGGATCCTTGCCCTCGGCCCTCGGCTGCTAGCGCCGGCTCCTCGACCCTCGTTATTCTGCCCCCGGCCCTTGTTTGTGCGGCCCCCGGCAATGCGAGCTGCTACGATGTGCCAGTGTTGCCCCGTGCGCTCCTATGTCTGCCTTGCGATGCAGCTGTGCGATGCCATGGCGTGACGACCGAGCAGTGTCATAGCAGACTATGTGTTGCCATGCTGGGCTTTGCTGCGCCATGCGATGATAAGCCACACAACGCAAATCTGCGGCAGAGAAAGGCCACCCACGATGATATGCCATGCCTATATGTGTGTACACTTTGCTGATATGTGATGCCCCCAGGATGAAGTACAAGTGCGGTGCCATGCTATTGCGTGGCATGGCGCGCTCTGCTGCATTAGCATTTTCGCTTGCGTGTTAACTCATCATGGAAATCACCGTAACGCAACATAGTATGCCACACCACGTTGCACCAGGCGATGCTATGCTGTGCTGTGCTAGTTCATGCTTGCGCGTGTAAGGATTTGTATAGGTTTTAGTTCGGGTTGCGTCGAGTGTGAGGTTTCTGGCGTTCTGGGATCGTCGCTTCAAGACTGTTTTAGGAGGGTCCTCAGGGGCCCAAGAGGGACCCAAGACGACCCACAAAGAGCCCCCAAAGGGCTCCAAGGTACCCCCCAAAGCTTAGAAGACTTTCCAAGAGGTCGTTAAGAGGGCTCCAATACGGCCCGAGAGGGCCCCATGAGAGCGCCACGACGGCGTGGTAGAGCCTCAAGACAAGGCAACAACGGACTTCAGATGGCCCCCAGTCCCCAAGTGAGCCCACCAAGAAGCACCATAGAAGGTCTCAGAGTTTGGCCCATGAGGACTCCACCAGCGACCTAAGAGGAGACCAGGTGTTCGGCGATATGCTCGCCAAGGCCATTGGGAGATACGCGTGTTGGCTGCTTCACAAGCCATCCTCCTCGCGTCACGCTCCTCGTTTCACCCTCCACGCTCCTTGTTCCTCACCTCTATCTTCCCGCTCATCGCCTATTTCATCGCTTCGTCCAGCTCTCTCCTCGACATTGACTCATCGATCCTTGGTCTTCATGCCTCGAGCCACTCACGAGCAGCAGGTTGCGTCAACTAGCGGGAGTACCGAGAAGGAGCACCGTGCAGTCTCGAGCAGCAACAGTGACAGCAGCAGCACGCAGACCGCAGCAAACAGCACTAGCGGCGTCACACAGCAACAGCAGACAGCATCATGCAGCTGGCAGCAGCATCCTGCAGCCAACGTCATCACGAAAGCCTTCCCGCAACATCTCCGTCTAGACCCCACGCACCATCTCGGACATGCCTAATGGCCTGTTACCCGCGGGTCACCCACACTCAGTTACAGCGCCGGGATCAGCGCGTGCGAGAAGGGCGAGCAGTGGCAGCGTGCACTGGCGCTTCTCAGCGAGATGCGGCAGGCGAAGCTGGAGCCCAATCTCACTCAGGAGGAGAAAACACACACAGACAGAATTAATCGTCGATTCCCAAGAAAATATAGGAGAATATGGGCAGTGGGGGTAAGACAGAAACCCAGAAAATATGAGAAAATAGGGAATCTTTTTGTTTGTGTGTATTTATTTGTGTGTCCCAGGGCCCCTTCACTCACCTCCCCTGCACTGCCGGGCATGGCGCGTGCCCGACGGGTGCGTTGCCTCGTCGCCCTCCGCGCCTGCTCTGCGGCTCCACTCGTGGGGCGCCGCCGTCCTGCCCCGAGAGGGCCCCGCGGGTGGCCCAGCAGGCCCCCCAGAGCGCCACCCTGCAGCACGGGAGGGCTCCCAGACGGCCAGAGAAGGGCACCACAAGGCTCCACAGGGCTCCCACATGGTCTCCGGGGGGGCCACGAGGGCGAACGATTCTCGATAAATTCGGGGTGTTGCATTCTTCCACTCACTGTCGCTTTTCTGGCCAAAAGACGCCCAACCCACCTTGAGAAGCCTCCCACGTCGTCCCAGCTTGAGAAGCCTCCCAAATCGTCCCCAGGGCTCCCAGGGAGCTCCAACGAGAGCCCATACGACTGCCCCAGAGTTCCTCACCAACGGCTCCCAGGACTTCCAAGACTGACGAACAGCCCCCCAGGACGGCCCCAAGGGAGGCCCAACATGGCCAGCTCTGTAGCTCTTCCCCCCCATCCCGCCCACCCCACGGTCAGAAATCCCCGAAGAAGCCCCCCACGAGGCTCCCAGGCGGCCTCCGGGACACTCCCCAGAGGCTCCTGGAATGCTTCCAGCAGCTCCCAAGAAATTGCCGACGTGCTCCTAAAAGGTCCCAGATCATTGAAACAATACACCACGGGCTCCCGGAAGGCCTCCAGCAACTCCTTCCAAATGGCTCCGATAGATTCCTATAAAGCACCAAATGATTCGAAAAGGGCACGCACCACACTTCCTCTTGGGACACCTCTCGCGCGGGAGGGGTTGCAGGAAATCGCTCTCCAATCCAGCCGCGGACACCCGGGACTGCTGTTTCTGCGACCCCTCCCGAGCCGAGCGTGTACCAAAAGGTGTGGGGTGCGGTTGCTTCCTATCATCTTGGGCCCTTCCCTTCTCCTCCCCGTCGTCTCTCTCTCTCTCTCTCTCTCTTCCGCCACAGGCGCTCCTGCCGGCGGAGTCGGAAACGCAAGGATTCCAGGAGGGGGAAGCGGAGGACGAGGATGATGAGGAGAAGGATGAGGATACTGCTGCTGCTGCTGGTGATGATGATGATGATGACGACGACGATGACGATGGCGACGGTGATCATGACGATGATGATCATCATGATGATGATGATGATGCTGATGATGATGATGATGATGATGATGATGACAATGATGATGATGCTGCTGATGATGATGATGGTGGCACAAATGATGGTGCTGCTAGGGATGACGAAGGTAATGATGATGCTGATGATGACGATGACAATGATGGTGACGCTGATGAGGATGATGCTGAGGATTCCTCTGAGGATGACGATGATGCTGATGATGCTGACGAGTATGATGACGATGCTTCTGATGATGATGATGATGATGATGATGATGCTTATGGTAATGGTGATGATGGCGATGATGCTGACGATGATGAGATGTTGATTGCCATGACGATGATGATAATGCTTATGAGGATGGTGATTATGATGATGATGCTGCTGATGATGATGATGATGATGATGATGATGATGGTTGTCATGCTGGTGATGAGGAGGAGGAGGAGGAGGAAGAGGTTGAGGAGGAGGAGCAAAAGGAGGAGGCGGAGGACGAGGACGGGCCAAGCACGACGACGAGGAGGATGAGGAGGAGCAGGAGGAGAAAAGGAAGTGGAGGAAGAGGACGAGCCAAGCAGGAGCAGGAAGAGGATGACGATGATGCTGATGATGATGATGAGGAGGAGGAGGAGGATGAGGAGGATGAGGAGGAGGAAGAGGAGGAGGCGCGGTGATGATGATGATGATGATGATGATGATGATGATGATGATGATGATGATGATGATGACGATGATGCTGATGCTGATGCTGATGCTGATGCTGATGCTGATGCTGATGCTGATGCTGATGCTGATGCTGATGCTGATGCTGATGAGGATGAGGACGAGCATGAGCATGAGCATGAGGATGAGGATGAGGATGAGGATGAGGATGAGGGTGAGGAGGAGGAGGAGGAGGAGGAGGAGGAGGAGGAGGATGAGGCTGTGGCTGAGGCTGAGGCTGAGGCTGAGGCTGAGGCTGAGGCTGAGGCTGAGGATGAGGATGAGGATGAGGATGAGGATGAGGAGGATGAGGAGGAGAAGGAGGAGGAGGATGAGGAGCTGCTGCTGTTGCTCCTGCCCATGCCCCTGGATCTGCTGCCGCTTGGGCAGCAGCCAGCGCACTCTGGCCACTGGGACTGGTGCACGGTAGTCCACGGGTCAGCCCTAGTCTCTACTACATTGCAGGGCCCAGTGCATACCAGAAGGGCGCAGGCTCCATTAACCAATAATCGCCCCGGGCTGGCCCCGGGCCGCCCCTGGAGGCCCCAAGACACGCCAAGGGGGCCCCAAGAGGCCCCCAAGACGGCCCCGGAGGGCCCCGGCACGCCCAGCGAGGGGCCCAAGACGCTCGAGATTGGCCCAAGACGGCTCCAGAGGCCTCCAAGACTCCCCAAGAGGCCTCCCAAGAGGCGTCCCAAGAGGGCCCCGAGCGGCAGAAACCGTCGATTTCCATTGTGTTTTTCGATGGTTTCGGCCTCCTCGCCTTTTCGGCTTCCCGACGCTCCAAGACGGCCCAAGACGTCCCCCAGACCGCTCCAAGACGGCCGAAGAGGACCCCAAGAGAGCCCCAAGACGGGCCAAGAGGGCCCCAAGACGGCCCCAAGACGGCCCAGGACGGCCCCAGGACGGCCCAGGAGGCGCCCAAGACGGCCCAAGAGGCACCCAATACGGCCCCAGGAGCGGCCCAAGACGGCCCAACAGAGCCCTAGAGGCGCCGAAGCCGGCCTCAGACGGTCCCAAGACGGCCCAAGAGGCACCCAAGACGGCCCAAGAGGGCTCCAGAGCCCCCCAGGAGACCCAAAAGAAGCCCCTCGAAAGGGCCCCCACGAGGCCCTAAGTGGCTTCAGAAATGCCTCCACGAGGGGGTGAGCGGACGAGAGGCGACAGGCATATCGCGGACACAAAAGAGGCGTTTTCGACGCTCCCAGGGCCTTAGATGTTTGTCTCATGGGGAGCGCCGTCGGACCTCCGAACTTGGATCCTCGAGGCTCCACGCTCGAGGTCCTCCGTGACGCGCTCTTCAAACGGAGGCCCCCACGAAGCCTTCAGTGGCTTCAGAATTCCCTCCAGGAGCGGGGGAGCGGACGAGAGGCGACAGGCATATCGCAGGCAAAAACGCCCCAAGAGATCTCCAAACGGCCCCCACGAAGCCCGAAGTGGCTTCAGAATTGCTTCCAGGAGGGGGGGAGCGGACGAGATGCGACCGGCATATCGAAGGCACAAAAGAACAATGTTGGACGCTCCGAGGGCCTTCGATGTTTCTCTGTTGGGGAGAGTCGTCGTAGGATCGACGATTGCCGACCGAGGGCATGGAGAATCGAGCGAAAGAGGAGGAGAAGGTGGAAGAGGAGAAGGAGAAGGAGGAGGAGGAGGAGGAGGGGCCTGGCGCTGCACTGCGAGATGTGGAAAGCCAAGCTGGAGCCCGACGCCATCATGATTGCCTTTCGGCCCTGCAGCCGCACCCCCCCGCGCTTGCCCAGAGATCCCTCGCCACGTCGAGCTGATGTCGTGGACGGAGTCCACAGGTCTGCCCTAGTCAGCTTCAACGCTTGCATCAGCGCGTGCGAGAAGGGCGAGCAGTGGCAGCGGGCTTTGGGGCTTCTCAGCAAGGTGCTGGAGGCGAAGCTGGAGCCCGACGTCATTCCCTTTCACAATGCCAGGAGACGTGCCTGCGAAAGGGGCAAGCGGCAAACAGTAAGTCCAGCTCAGAGCGGGCCAAGTCGCCCTGGCCGGCCCACGGGCGGCCCGGGAGGGCCTCGAGAGCCCCAGAGAGACCACTTGGAAACCTTCAACCTTCGACGTGATCCGCGAGAGGGCTCGAATGTGCCCCGACGGGCTTCACAATCAGTCCCCAGTCGCCCTGGGGGCTCAGAGGCGGCCTCCAGGGTGCTCCGAAGGCACCCATATAGGGTGCGCGGAGGGCTTCCGCGAAGCAAACAGTTGAGTTGGTTTAGCTAGATGTATCTAGGCCTCCCAGATGGAGCCCGAGTAAGGGTCGGAGGATCGCGCCGCATCGCCGATGCATCGGCGACACGCGCGATGTGGATCCCGATGTTCTCCACGTCGACATCGCCGATGCAGCGCCGACGTCGCATGTGCATCGGCGATGCGGCGCGATCCTCCAACCCCACCTACTCGGACCCCCCATCCAGGAGGCATCTGATGTGTGGCATCCGCTCGCATGCTGCCTCCCAGCTCGGCACCAGAGGCGCCCCGAGAGGCTTGGCCCCGAGAGGCCCCACGACAGCCACCAGATGGCCCCCAAGACGCTCCCGAGATTGCCTTGGATCACCCTGCCCAGCCTCAATGCTGGCCCTGTGGCGGCTCCAAGAATGCCGGGGGCCACCCAAACATCAGAGCAGGAAGGGCATCCATGCGCGACCCTGCACCCGTTCTCCCGTTTTTCGGCCTCCTGCGAGGTCCTCGTCGCCACTGCTGGACTCGCCTCGAAATTCTGGTCAGAACGCACCCGGGGAGAGGTCCGGAGAGTAGCGGTACCGGTACCGTTTGGTCTCCCCTAAACGGGCCCAAGGTTTTCCCCAGGCTGTCCCCGGAGCCCCCAAGAGTCTGCCCCAGACGCCCCCAGGGTCGCCCAGGTGCGCCAAACGGGACCTACAAGGGCCCCGAGAGCGCCCGAGCAAAGCGCCCCAGGAGCGCTCCCAACCGATCCGCTCCATGCTTACCTGAGTCCCCTCCCAGAGGCTCCGAATGGTTCTGGCTTCCGGCACCACGGGGGCAAGTGCAGGCCACAATGGACGGCCCGAACAGGCAGCACACTGTTCACTGCTTCCCTGTATCCCCCCCGCTCTTCGCCGCTCGACCCATGTGCTCCGACGCCAAGGGAAACTTGCTCTAGCACCAAACACGGTAGACAGTACACATCAAGGGTGTGCCCTTCTCTCTCTGTCTCTCTCTCCCTCACAGGCTTCTCCTTTGAAGTTGTTTCTTTCATATTCATGTATTTCTATGTTTCTCTCTCTCTCTCTCTTTCTCTTCTTTATTGTTCTATTTCTCTCTCTAGCTCCGTCTATCTCTCTCTGTCCCTCGGAGCATGCTCAACGACCCAAATGGAGAGAACACGTACAATCGCCTTCCTGAACCGTGGCCAGTGCAAGCGCACGAGAACCCGACGCACAAGATAAAGCACGCGTGCGAAAGGAAAGGGGTGGCAGCTCAACATTGCCCCTCCCCACCCGCAGACCAATTCCGACGCCAAGGGGAAAGCGCCGACCACAATGGACGGCCCAAACGGAGCAAACACGCCATGGCGCGCTCGGCTGCTAGCCCGTGTGGGTGTGTAGTCCACGGGTCCATACCAGTAACTTACAGTGCTGGGATTAGCGCGTGCGAGAAGGGCAAGCAGTGGGAGCGTGCTCTGGCACTTCTCAGCGAGATGTGTAAGGCGAAGCTGGAGCCCAATCTCATCACTTACAATGCTGGGATCAGCGCGTGCGAGAAGGGCGAGCAGTGGCAGCGGGCTTTGGGGCTTCTCAGTGAAGTGTGGGAGGCGAAGCTTGAGCCCAGCGTCATCGCCTCTAGAATTCTGGGCGCCGCGCATACGTACAGCGGCAAGCACTCCCAGCAGCACGCTGGAGCGGCACCAAGCAGTAACACACGACACAGTACGCGGAATGAGGCCCACAATCGGCCCAGCAGGCCTCGGCGGGCCCCCCCGGCCGCTACAAGACGCCGCAAGACGGTCCCAAAAGCCCCCAAAGACGGCCCGAGACTTGCCTAGAGAGCCCCCAAGACGGCCCCGGACAACGACGGCCCAGGCTGACTCCCAGACAGCCCAAGACGACTGCTCCTGGAGGCCTGCAAGATGCCCAGGCACAGCTCGAAGGAACCCCCCAAGGGGGCCTCGAGACGAAAAACAGTAGACATTCAGCATTTTGGGTTTTGCGCGACATGTTTGTACACTCGCGTTCTCAGTCTCCGAAAGCCCGAGATCGCCACAAGACGGCCCTGGGGGCCACAAGGATGCCCTACAACGGCACAGCGTCGATCCAAGATGGCCCACGTGCCCCCCCAGGCGATCCAAGAAGCCTTCAAGATGGCCCCGAGACTGCCCAAGGAAGTCCCCTAGGGCCCCGAGATGGCCCGAAGGAGGCCACCAGACAATTAATTGAACGCCGAGACCTGCAATACACCTCGAGGCGCTGCCCAGAGGCTCCTGGAAAGGCCCAAGCCCGCACTCAAAGGACCCCCAAGAGCGCCCGAAGAGACAAACATCATTGATGAATTCTACGCGTCTGATAATTATTATATGTCGTGTTCCCTCTCTCGGGCTTTCGGCAGCTCAAGACGGTCCCACGGGCTCCCCGGATTGCTTCGAGACGGCCGAAGAGAAACCCCCAAAGGCACCAAGACGGCCCAAGATGGGCTCAATATGTCCCCAGTTGACAATTCTGTTTTTGCCCCGGAGGCTCTCAGAGTCTTCAAAAGTACCACTAGAGGGTGTCCAAGAGGCCACCACCACAATGGCCCACAAGACCGTGTAAACGTCCCATGAGTCCACGAGGCTGTCCAAGCGACGGCCCAAAAGACCCCCAAGCGCACCACGAAGGTTCCCCCCCAAGAAGGCCTCCAGACGGACAAACTCTTGATGTACACGATGTTTTGGAGAGATTTTCGTATACGTACGTATTCGCTGCCTCGGGTATCCGAACGCTCAAGACGGCTCAAGAGGTGTTCGACATCGCCCAGGCACAGCCCAGAAGGCTCCCAGAAGAACCCCCAGACGGCCCAACAGAGCTCCAAGACGGCCCAAGAGGCCACCTCAAAAATGTCCAAACGGCCGCCAAGACGGCCCTATGACGGCTCCAAGACGGCTCAAGACATCCCCAAGATGCCCCAAGGCTTTCCCAAACCACTCCAGGACTCCCCAACCCAGAGACCCCCAGGGAAGCCCAGATGGCCCAAGACGATATAAAATAATTCCACCAGAGCCCAACAATCCCCCCAAAACGAAATACAGTTCCACTTTGGCGTCAAGACAGCCCCATGCACTGGTGATTGTCTTTTCGATTTCACACGGGTTTTAGCACGCTCCCTGCTTGAGAGCCGAATGTCCATGAGAGCGTACGAGGCCCAGGAGAGCGCAGCACGAAGCAGACAGCAGAAGCGATCGCACACAGCAGCAGCAACCTCAGCTGCAGGCAGCCGGCAGCAGCACGCACCAAGCAGAACTAGTTACCACCAGCACCATGCAGCACAAAGCATCAAAAGCCCGCATCAGCAACAAGCATCACAGACAGCACCCAACAGCGGCTGCAATCAGCAGCACGCAATAGCAGCGCGGAGTGCATGGTTCGAACCCTACGTCATCATGCCAGCCGTTCGGCAGCATGTGCACCATTACATGCCAGTTCGTGCAGACTTCGTGGACGTAGCTAGTCCACAGGCCAGCTCTGGGCAGCTACAACGCTGGGATCAGCGCGTGCGAGAAGGGCAAGCAGTGGCAGCGGTCTTTGGCGCTGCTCAGCGAGATGCGAGGGGCGAAGCTGAAGCCAGACGCCACACCTGCACCACCTTGCAGGGGCCAGCGCGTGCCAGAAGGGCGCCGGCACCTCTTTGGCTCCGCCCCGCCCCGGAGGTCCTGTCGCGGGGCCGCGGCGCCGGCCCGGGCGCTCCGAGGCCCTCTGAGCCGCCTCGGCTGGGCCCAGGGCGGGCCTCTGGGGCTTCGTGCTTGCGCCCGGCCGGCCCCCCGGAGGCGTCACGAGGCCCATGGCACCCTCCCAGGAGAGGCCGCCGAGGCCCCGAGAGAGGCTGCAGGCCAAGGGGAGTATCAAAGTGCGCCTCTCAAGAGGTCGTTCGCTTCTGCACCTTTCCTCGGGGGACTCGACTTAGCTGGGGCTCGGGTTAGCCGACGCTTTTTGACGAGCCCGTCCTGGACTTTGACGGTTCAACCGTCGTGGGATGTTTGCAGTGGGAGGTTGCGTCAGTTTTCAGATTTGCCTTCGTCATTTTCCTGACGGCCCCGTCAGGCCAACCCAAGTCGTCCGAACCCGAGTCTTACGTCTTCCCGATGTTCCAGTCCGCATGACCCGGGCAGTGGCTCACATGACCTCGAAGTCGCCCGACGCGACTCCAAGACTGCCCCCAGCTGGCCCTAGCAGGGCCACAGGAGGGCCCCAGGGCGCCCCATCAAGCTCCCAAATCGGCCCGCATAGGGCCCCAGGACGGCACTACAGCGCTCCTGGAGGGCAAAAGATCGCCCAGGAGAGCCCCCAGACGGCCGAAGAGGGCCCCCAGGAGGCGCCACAACGGCCCGAGAAGCCCCCTGAGGGCCCCAAGACGCGGCCCCAGGAGCTCCAGGAGGGCCGGAAGACGCCCCCCACGCCCCACGAGGCGACCCAGGAGGCCGGCAAGAGGCCCCCAAGTCGGGCCTCGGAGGCCCCCGAGAGGCCCCCACGCGCGGGCCGCCCAGGAAAATATGACAGCCACGCGCTCCTTATGTGCATCCGGTCGGCGGAGCGGCTCCAGCCTGAATGGGCGACATGTCGGGGAGTTCTCGGGCCGGGCGAAGGGGGGGGATTGGGAAAGGGGGGGTTACGAAATTTGCTGCATGCAGCTGGTTTCGGCTTCACCGAGGGGCCCATTCCTCGATACATGGGCGCCTCCCGGCGCCAGGAGGCGCCGCGAACATCAGCTACGCGAGCTGATTCTCAAACCCCCCCTTTGCTATCCCCCCCTTTCGCCCGACCCGAAGTTCTCCCTAAGAGTGTTCCGCCGGCCATCGGGGGCATGCTCCGCAGTGCATTCTGCCTACTCCCGAGCCTGCGCAGCCCGTGCGCCTCCACCGCCCTCCTCGGACGGCCACAGTCACGATGGAGCATCGTTGGGGAATAAGACAACCAGACACACATGCGCTGCTCAATTTGCAATATGAGCCCAAATACGGCCCTACGGCGGCTCAAGATCGTCCTGGGGCGGTCCAAGACGCCCCTTCCGAACCCCCGAAGGCTCAGCCGGGCTCCAAGGTAGCCCAAGAAGCCCCAAATAAGGCACGAGAGGGTCCAGAGTCAGCCCAGGAGAACCGCATATCAACTTTCGGCAGCAAGCAGCAGCAAGGACGCAAGCAAGTAAGCAAGCAGCATGCAGCAAACAAGCCAGCCAGCAAGCAAGCAAGCAGCGAACAATAAGCCATCACAAGGATGCAAACGGTTCGCAAGCATCACTGGCAGCAAGCAGTCTAAAGAAAACAGCAGCGATAGACACGCTTGTTGACGTGGGCGTAGTCCACGGATCAGTCCAGTTACTATCGAATGTCTTTCGGCCAATCCCACCACCGTGCTTGGGTTGTGGGTCCCAGGCCTCTAGGGGGGCGTTTTGGGAGCCTTTTGCGGGTCTCTTAGGGCCTCTTGAGCGCCTCCCAGCGCCGCCTTCGGGCGAAATGCTTGGATTTTCCGTTCGTGTTCCCTCTCTTGGGCCCTTCTTGGGGCTGTCTTTGGGCGCTCTCGGGCCGTCCTGGGCGGTTCTTGAGCCGTCTTCGAACCCTCTTGGGTCGGTCTGGGGGCCCTCATGGGGTGCTCCTGGGGCGGTCTTGGAGGCGTCTTGGGCCGTCCTGGAGCGTCGGAGGCTCGAGAAATCGAGGACCCGAGAACATGGGACCACAACAGGGAAAGCCAATGAGTTTGGCCTCTCGGGGCCCTCTTGGGAAGCCTCCCTGGAGACGTCTTGGCCGCCTTTTCCGCCGACTGGAGGCCATCATGGGCGTCTTGGACCGATTGATTGCCGATTCGAGGCCCTTTTGGACCGTCTTAGGGGGCATCTTGGAACCCTCTTGGCCCGTCCTGGGGGCCCTCCTGGACATGGAAAAGCCATGCGAGAAGGGGCGACGGTCCCCAGGGGCTACGCGATGCGCCCTTGAAGATTTGGCAATTTCGGGTCCGGGGCCCCTTAAGCGAGTCCTCAGGATTCAGGACAGAGGCTCCAAGGGATCCAACAAGGGACCTGAGGATTTTCCAACTCGCGCCTCGAGGGCACGGTGGCAGAGTATGGAGGAAAGCGTGTGCCAGAAAGATCCCGCCCCAGGTTGCCAATGCCGCTTTAGCGGTGCCCTGGAGAGGCCCCCTATGGGGTTGTGAGAGCCCCCAGACGCCCGCGCCGCGGCGCCTGTGGCGGCCAAGATGGTCCCAAGAAGCCCACGAGGTGGTCCAAGAGGGCTCCATGACGGTCTGGGAGAGCTCCAAGACGCCCACGACAGGAGGAGGAGGGTGAGGAGGAGGAGGAGGAGGAGGAGCAGCAGGAGGAGAATCCAGCGGCACCAAGCAGCAAGACCGGAGAACAGCAGCAGCAACAGCAGCAGCAGCAGCAAGACGAGCTGACCCCTCCGCGAGGGGCCCCTATTGCCATTTCGGGCAGGCGTCGTGGACAAAGTCCACGGGTTCACCCGAGTCTCTCCTACAACGCAGGGGTCAGCGCGTGCGAGAAGGGCGAGGAGTGGCAGCGGGCTTTGGCGCTGCTTGTCGACATGTGGGAGTCGAAGCTGAAGCCCAGCGTAATCTCCTTTACAATGCATGAGTCCGCGCGCGCCAGAAGGTGCTGTGCATCAATCTACTTTTTCAGACTTCGGGACGCCCTGGGAGGCCGAAAAGCTTTCCTGAGGTAGCCTGGACAGGCCTGCAGGCCTCGGTCCATTCCCTCTTATACGGCCGAACAGAGCCCAAAGACGGCCGAAAAGTCGCCCGAGACGGCCCCAAGAGGCCTTGGTTAGCTTGACGACGGCCCAAGACCCAAGAAGCCCCCAAGACGCCCCAAGAGATGTCCAGAAGGGCCCCCCAAGGCATCTCCGAAATGCTAGAATTATCCAAATTCCTTTGGGCATTGTGCATGTTATGCGTATTTGTTGTTTTGTCTTCGCAGCGTTCCAGCAGGCCCTAGACGCCCCCCAAATCCCCCCACGACAGCTCCATAGGCCGACATGAATGCTCCAATATGGCTCCAGGACAGCCCAAGAGGCGCCCAAGACGGCTAACAAGGAGCCCCCAACGGCTCCAAGCAGCGGTGCAGGACGGCCCAAGACGGTTCCCAAACTGCCCCAGAGGCGCCCCAGAGAGCCCACAAGGCGGCCCAAGAAGCGCCCAAGGCGGCCCAGGGCCCCAAGAAGGCCAAAGGATGCCCTAAGAGGCCCCCACACAGCTTCCAAGCGGCCAGCAGGGCTTCAAACTTGCCTCCACGAGGGCAGGGCGGAGCAGAGGCGAGAGGCTTTGCGCAGGCCCTGCAGAATCGTTTCCGACGCTCCATGGAGCCTGGATGCTCGTCTCTGGAAGAACAGGAGGACGACGACGAGAAGGAGAAGAGGAGCGACATCGATGATACTCCAGGGCAGAGTCGGCTCGCCTCCATGGCGAGTGCGCCGCCCATACTGGGCCGCGTGCGCTGCGACGTGCGCAAGGCGGATTTCGGGCAGATGCCGTGGCGTGTAGGCCACTCGCCAGAGCTATATATCCTAAAATCCCGGAAGCAGCGCGTGCAACTTGCCAATCGTGGCAAAGCGGGAGACTGCCCAAGCGAGTCCATTCGCAGACGAATTTTGTCATTCAATCCCCGAGCTCTGCCCGGAAAGTTTGGCACCTCAGGAAAAGGGGGGAACCTTGGGATACACCCCAAGGGAGCTATCCGGACGCACCCCAATCGATGATGGACGCCCACCCATCGTATATCCCAGGGTTGGGCCCAAAATTCTTGGTCCAGTCGAAACCTCCATGACGCCTGGGATATAGGGCGAAATATCAGCTGTTATCCAAGAGGCCTCCAAGTTCGCCGAAGATGCCTCCAATCTAGCCGTGGATGGTCTCAAGACAGCCCAAGATAGCCCAAGACGGCCTCTCGACGGCCGAAGAGCCTTCCAAAGGGCCCCACGAGCGCTCCAAGAGCACTCCCAGCAGGGCCTCCCGGTGCAGAACCCTCAGGTTTTCCTGCATGTTTGTCCAATGGCAGTTTTTGCATCTGGGACTCGTGGGCCCATGCAGCGTCCACGACGGCCCAACAGCCCTTAAGAACGTCCCAAGCCGGCCGAAGAGGCCACCCAAGAGAATCCCAAGGCGGCTCGAGAGGGTCCCAAGACGGCCCGAGAGAGCCCCAAGACGGCCCAAGAGGCGCCAAAGGCGATCCAAGATGGCCCAGAGATGACCCACTAGAGCCCCGGGTGCATGCCAAGACGACCCCAGGAGCGCTGCCAGAGAGCCCGAGGAGGCCTCCAACGGTTGCTACAACGCACCGCCCTGTTGTAGCATCAGTCGGGTGTTTTCCGAGGGCCCGCTTGGGGCCGTCTTCGGGCCCTCTCGAGCCCCTCTTGGGCAAGTTTCGAGGTCCTCCGGGTGCTCCCAGAACCTCTTGCAAGGCTGCAAGACGGCACAAGAGAGCTGCAAGACAGCTCAGGGAAAGCCCCAAGACGGCCCAAGAGGCGCCCAAGACGACCCAAGATGACCCAGAGATGGCCCCGCCACGTTCCCCTACCAGGGCACCTCCGAATTGCGCCACGGGTACACACCCAAGAGGCCTCCCAAGACGCTCCAAGTGGCCTCCAAGACGAGCCCAAAGAGAGCCAGAATAATTAAACATCGCCCCAATCCCTTGGGAAAACGTACATGTTTGCAATTCCAGTGTTTTCGTGTTCAAAGCGTTCAAAAGGACAACTCACGCCCCCAAGATCGCCCCAGGACGCCTCAGGATCGCCCCATGAGGGCCCCAAGACGGCCCCAGGACGGCCCAAGACGTACCCAGAACCACTCCTGCGGCGCCCACGACGGCCATAGAGTCAACCAAGGAAGCGCAGAGAGCGGCCAAAGACGGCCCAAGACGGCCCCAAGACGGCCCCAGTGGCGTCCAAGACGGCCTCAGACGGCCCCAAGGCGGCCCAAGGGGCACCCAAGGCAGCCCAAGAGGGCCCCAAGAGGCCCCCAGGAGGCCGCAAGACAGTCCAAGTGCCCCCCCAAAGGCCCCGAGGAGGCTGAAAAGAAACCCCTAGAGGCCCCCAAACGGTTCCCAAGGAGAAGGAATCGCCCGCCATCAGTAGCCGCGTAGGGAAAGTTGGGTGCGGGCGCGAGCGAAAGAGCGCCGAATAATCAACGGCAACATGGGCGCTACTTCCCTTTACTATTGCCTCCCAGCTCCAGGGCGCCCTTCGCCGCTGCCGCCCAGGTGAGGCGAGATACGCCAGAGGCCTCCAGTGAGCACAGTCCCCAACACAGTCTGATCCCAGAGGGGCGCGGAGACGGCGCCCAAAAGGACGTGGCCCACTGCGCGTCCACAGTGCGCCCCCATGCACAGTCCACCGTGCGACATTCCGAGTGCCCTGGGGCAGCATCGATTTCCCCCGTGGGCACGAAGCAGACAGCAGCAACGGCGGCACACAGCAGCAGCAAGCAGCGGCAGGCAGCGGGCAGAAGCAAGCACCAAGCGGAACTGGCCATCTGCAACAATTTGCAGCCACAAGCAGCAAGAACACGCAGCAGCGGCCTCAAGCACGACCAGGAGTGCACAAAAGCGGCAGCAAGCACCAGCACGCAGTATCATGTGCGGAATGTGAGGTTGGGCTTTGCAATCACATTCCAAATCGTGCAGATTTTGTGGAAGGAGTCCACGAGTCAGTCCTATCGACGTCGCCAGCCTCTTTCCGGTGGCCACAACCCACCACGACGAGCACCACCACCACGACGACGACGCCGACTACGACGGGTAGGACGGCGGCCTCGCGGCGGCGACGACAACGACGCCGACGATGACGGCGACGACGGCGGCCTCGCCATGGCCAAGTTGCTGGAGCGCTGCTAGAGCTCGGACACGAAGACGCGGTTTCGCTGCCGCCGCCCTGGCCGCCGCCGTGCTTACAGGTTCTCGGCAAAGTCTCCGCCGTTCCTCCGAGAACCATTCCAGAAACATGTCGTGGACGGAGTCCACGGGTCAGCCCTAGTCTCTCCTACAATGTCGGGGCCAATGCGTGCGAAGAGGGTCTGGGGACCGATGGGCTTTCCCGGCGCTTCGGAGACGCTGCGGCGGGCCCCAGGGCGGCCCAAGAGAGCGCGACAGAGGTTCTCAAGACTCCTCCAGGAGAGCCACAAACTGCAAACATCGTCCACTTCCGTCGGACAAACGTACATGTTTCGTCTCCGAGGCGTCCACGACACTTATACAGGCAACCAAGATGCCTCCATGAGGGACCTCGGACGGCTCAAGACGGCCCCAGGAAGGCCCGACAGGCGCCCAAGACGGCCCAAGAGGCCTCCAAGACAGCCCCAGAAGCCGCCCAGGACGGCCCAAGACGGCCCCAAGACGGCCCAAGAGGCACCCAAGACGGCCTTAGACGGTCCCAAGGGCACCCAAGTCGGCCCAAGAGGGCCCCAAGAGGCCCCCACGAGGCCGAGAGGAAGCCCGAAAAAGCTTGAAACAGTCCCCAAGGGGCACTCAGCGGCTTCAAAATTTCCTCCACGAGAGGGGGGGCGGAAGAGAGGCGGAAGGCTCATCGCAGGCTCTGCACATCCGTTTTCGACGCTCAGAGGGCCCTGGAAGCTTGTCTGTTCGGGAGCGTCGACGACAACAACGCCGACGAGCCAAGATCCCAGACGAGGTTCTGAAGTGGATGCTAGTTCTCACAGTTTCGGCCGCCCTCGAGAAGCTCTGCGAACGACGTCCACTCAAAACTCTCTGCGGGATTTTGGCTCGAATCGGACTCCCTCGCGACATGACAACGACGACGACAACGACGACGACAAATACAAAAACGACGACCAGGTGTTCGATTCGAGCCTAGATCCGAGACGAGGTTCTCCAGAGAATGCGAGCTCTCACAGTTTCGGCCGCCCTCGAGAAGCTCTGCGAACGACGTCCACTCAAAACTCTCTGCGGGATTTTGGCTCGAATCGGACTCCCTCGCGACAACGACAACGACGACGACGACAACGACGACGACAAATGCAGTCACGATGACGGCGAGGTGTTCGATTCGAGCCTAGAACTTGGACAAGGCTCACTGCACAGAGGTGTCCGAACGACGTCCAGCCAAAACTCCTGCCCTGGACTTTCGTTCCATTCGGACACCCTCGCGACGACGACAATGCCGACGACAACGGCGACGACGACCATGACGATGCCGACGACGTGTCCGAGTCGGGCCAACATCCCAGACAAGGTTCTCCAGTGAATGCGTTTTCTCTACATTTCGGCAGCCCTGGAGAAGCTCTGCAAACGACGTTCAGCACAAACTGCACTTGGGATTTTGGCTCGAATCGGACACCGTCGGAACGACGACGACGGCTCCGACAGCGACGACGTCGGGCCAACATTCCAGGCAAGGTTCTCCAGTGAATGCGTTGTCTCTAGATTTCGGCAGCCCTGGAGGAGCTCTGCGAACGACGTTCAGCACAAACTCCACACGGGATTTTGGCTTGAATCGGACACCGTCGGAACGACGACGACGGCTCCGGCAGCGACGACGGCGAGGACGACGACGGCTCGGAGGTGTCCGATTCGAGCCGGAGTCCTCGACAAG